ATGAGGTGGGCTGGGACAGCCCGCAGAGCAGGGAGACGCAGCAGTAAGCGGCCGAAGCGCTGTGGCTGGTTCGGGTACTGCATCCTCTCGTACTCCGTCAGTGCCACCTGGGCCTTCTCCTGCAGGGACTCCACATGGGCTGGGTCAGTCAGACCACAGGCATCTGTAAGAACAGGGAGAGAGGGAGTTCTAATTATTTAATATTTCTATTTTAACTTATATTTGAGTTAATATTTCTAATTTATTTTCATGTTTTTAACTGCTTCACTTTGTCACCTAGAAATATTGTGTGTTATTTAATTAGTTAGTTAATATTTGGGTAATGGACCCAATGGGTCTATTAAAATACTATACAAATTAAAATACAAATATCTGATCATTTAAATTTCAGTTTTAACTCTTGGAGCACAATTTATGTTTTTATTGAAACTATGTTTTGTTAAGTCATGTTATGTTCTTGCTAAACTGCATTGTCTCAGTTTAAATAGAATCCTTAAATTATAAGTATGATCATCGTACATGAAGAATACTGCATACAGTCCTAGTAAATATTATGATATAAATGTTCTCTGATTATGAGTATGTTTTTTGAAAACATTCACACAAATTATTGCATTATTAATTAGTTTACTTTCACGACCATTTCAGTGATCAAAAACTCACCTGGTGAGAACAGTGCTATGGCTTTCAGGCAACTGTACTCGGCTGAATCCACCTGCAGCCTGTTCAACTTGTCCACCTGGTCCTGGAAGACCCGGACCTGGTCCATGAAGGACACTACACGTTCTGCGGACATCGGGGACGAGTGGAAACCGGCAGCTGCCAACAGAGGAGCCATGTGCAGAGGCAGAGCAGACTGAGCAGCGTTCAGGATGAAGAGTTCGCTCCAGCTCAGCCTCAGCAGCGCCACCTGGAGAAATGAAAGGTATTAGTCAATTAGTTTGATGCTTTTTGTGAAATTTTAACATTGGTACTTTTTGGTTGCAGTGACTTAAACTTTATTTCCTGAATCCATTCCTAACACAGACCTGTTCAGACACCGGCAGTTCTGGGAAGTATGGGATGTTTCTGGCCCATTCAATGGTGCTGAAGAGAAGTCGAGCTGCCAGTTCACAGATGCTGTCGATGCCCATGACTAACATTGATACTTTTTGGTTGCAGTGACTTGAACTTTATTTCCTGAAACCATTCCTAACACAGACCTGTTCTGACACCGGCAGTTCTGGGAAGTATGGGATGTTTCTGGCCCATTCAATGGTGCTGAAGAGAAGTCGAGCTGCCAGTTCACAGATGCTGTCGATGCCCATGACAGATGCTCCGCTCACAGATGCCTGCATCTGTCCCTGGCTGTAGTGCGGACCGTAGCGGCTGCTGGGGTAGGGCTCTGCCCGCAGGAGCTGAGAGATGAGATCGGAAACCGGCTGCCCGTTGAAGTAATCCAGCCCGATGTGACCCGGTCCCGCTCCTCCAGGAACACCTGCCAGTGAGCTTGGACTGATGCCCGAGTGAGTTGGAGGTACTCGACCCCTCTGGACGGCTGCCGGAACAGAAGTAAGAACGTTAATGTCTGGTGTAGAAAATCCCACTGAGCAGAAGATGTCAAAGTTTTCAAAATTAGTAAATAGAATGGATAGGAGTAGAAATGATGAAGGCAGAGCTAGGGTTGACACATTTAGAGACAAGGTTACAGAGAGGACGTGGAGAGGGTCTGGACATTTGCTGAGGTGATGGAAGAAACAGGTCAGGACAGGTTTAGTGACACCTGAAGGCAGTGTTGAATTTGAGTCTGCAGTGTTCAGTCCAAGTCCTGTCTGTGCCAAGTTCTCATTGTTAAAGGTCCAAGTCAGGTAGGAAGGAACTGAGTACAAACTGTGTCTGACTCTAAGTCCAAGTAGATTTAAGAGTCAAATAAAAAAACAAACAAACAGAAAAAAATCCCATGTTGACCCCTGTTCCTGTGGTGTCAAGTCCTTGACATGAATATCAGGTTTAGTCCTAGTTTATTTTAAAGTTCAAGTCATGAAAAGTCACGCTCCAGAATGTTCCTGAAGTTACTGAACGATCCTTAACACCCTGGTACTTTCCCTCACATTTGCCCTGGTCTTTGCCAAGTCACGAGTCCTGGTCTCTTAAAACATGTAAGAGACCAAGAGATCATAAGGTTTTATATGTATTTTAATTCAATAAAACCTGGCACATTATTTAAGTTATTAGCTGGCGTATTGTTGAATTTCCCCACAGTTCCTCATCATTAACAAGATGTAACCACTCCTCAGTGAATTGAAGTTTTGGAAATGTAGGACTTTAAATTTCACAACCAAGGTTTTAAGATTCTATTCAGTTCAAACAAGGTCAAAGGTGAAGCCGACAAATCTAGGTAATGTGGAAACACGGCGTCATGGCAGTGGTCAGCATGGTTCATTAATAACCAGGCCAAATTTAACCTGGGACACTCTGTCACCTCTGTGCACACATTAGGTGTCACTGAGCGTGTGGTATCCACTGACACAGAGTGAAACACAAGACCGGCTCCATTCTGCCAGAATACAATTACAGACGTCACTGTCAACAGACGCCACGCTAACGCTGGCTGTAAAATAAAACACTGAGATTTTATGATGTGATAATGACAGATTAGTTCCTGTTGTGGACATAAGTAAACCGGGTCAAACAAGATTCCTACTGGGAGTCTATCATGTTGGGAATTAAACAATTTCCAACTTTTGTCACTTGACCGTGCGTCACCGCGGCTGTGTTTTCACCAGGTGAAGTCAGCGCCGGGGGTTTCTACCAACAGTGAAAACATCCGTCTGTTTTTCTGTGACATTATTCAGGCGTTTTTTTGTGACCCTGAAGCACAACAGCTGCACCAGGGTGAAAACACTCTGTAGTTGACAATGTAAATATTGTGCTTAAATCAGTAGCTGGTGAATGTCAGGTGGAGGGGGTGGACTTTCTGCCCAAGAAAACACAGGAGTGCCTTAAAGTGATTTAAATAATATGAGTTAGTTCATAGAATTTTAATCTTATTTTACTCAGACATGGTCAAATATTCTGGCGGTGACTCCAAACATCCCAAAAACACTCTTTGGCTCTGAGATTGTTTATGACACCAACTGTACATTTAGTCGCTGTCGTCTTAAACAGAACAAAATACGTCAGTTAACACAAACTTGACTGTTGTTTACGCCCCCCCCCCATCTCCCCCCCAGTATTGTCTTGTCATGAATGTGTAAGAAGGATTAGGGTCTGACCGAGCAAGTGTTGTGGAGCTAAAGACTCAGAGTGTTGTTACAAGTGCAATGCAATATTGATTGCCTGTAATGATTTTCCAGGCCTGTCCAGAGGTGAAAGCCCTGCCAACTTCCCTGTCCTGTTTTGTTACATTAATAACAACCAGACAGAGCCTGCATGACCAGAGCAGTTACTTTGGCTGCAAACTCATGAAATGTCAAGTCAAAAATGATGGAATCCTAGAATCCAGTTTAAATGTTTTTACATATCTCTAATTATTTTATATTGGAATTAAATAATTCATAAAACTCCAAACTGGACACTGAATTTTGATTTGACTTTCAAGGTCAAAACATTTTCTTTATAAAATTTTTATTTAAGCCATCTTCAAGCATAAATGTTTTTTTGTTAGGGTGGAAGAAGGATTTTTTTTCTTCAGGTTTTAGATTTAAATTTGTTAAGTTGTGACTTTGTCGAGCTGTTTTATCAAAAAAGTTTACAGCACCCTCTGCCAGACAAAAACAGGTATGTTGCCATAAAGAGTGCCGTATTTTTGACTAAACAAAAACATACATAATTGCAAAAGAAACATGCAAAAAATATGTTTTAGGTTGAATATACGGTAATATGAATAACTCTTTCGCTTCCATGGTCACTTTGTGTGCTCTATACTGTCGATCCTTGTGTTGCTGTCTGGAATTGAACCCACAACCCTATGGTTAAAAGTTGTCTGGTCTGCCTCTCTTCCCACAGCCACTCTTATGTCATTTAATGTGAATATTGATTTTGAATTTTCTCTCAGAAAAAAAGGGAAGTCTGTTGATCAGAGTTGACCATGTAGGAGTGGTTGACAGCTCCACTACAGAAATTCAATATTTCTCCCACCACTGGGGGGCATTTTCTTCCATCCCGAGGCAATTTTGTGGTTGTTGTGCGGGTCGGGCAGTAGACAGTGGTTTATTTAGAGCCCTTTTACTCTGAAAACTTTAGCCTGTTACAGAAGGAAGTGCCATTAGTGGTGAGAGAGCGCTGAGAGGAAACCCAAACGGTAAAAGTGTGGGCTTTAAAACTGAAGCCATAGCAAAAACCCACAGAAGAAAAGCTCTCTAAAACCAGAGACGTCTCTAAAGACGTCGATAAAGTTATATTACATTTCAAAGCTGATGAGAGAAGTTAGCACACAGTAATCACTTTTCCCTGCTGTAGATGCAACTGACAAAGTTTTGGTACCTTCTTTGCGCATCCCAACGCGGAAACACTTCTTTAGCCGACAGTACTGGCACTGGTTGCGGTGATGTTGGTCGATTTGACATTCTCGATTGGATCTGCACGAAGAAAGCAGGAAATACAACATGTTTATGTTAAACCTTGCTGAAAGTGCTTGAAGGGCTTGAAATATTTGTGAAAACAATGTCAACCCCTCTCTCCCTCCCTCCCCTCTCTCCCCTCCATGAATATAAACCCCCCTTTGACCCATGTGATAAGTGTGTAAGCTGAAAAGCTATCAAGGCTGTGACCTTTGTAAATCATCAGCCCTACACACCCTGGTGTTGTCATTTACAGCAGGACGAGGTCGGCCAACATTTCAGACAAGGCTGTGTTCACTCCGTGCCGTGACGCTCGGTCCACACAGGAACCTCTCCTTCAGAGTGGGAGCATTTCAACGGGGAAGAAGTAACAGCAGTGTATTGTTTGGGGTTTGGTGTGTTAGAGCCGAGGAGTGGGCGGTGATGTTGATGTTGTGTTCCTCTAGTGAAGGGAGTAATGGGAATGTTGACCTTCTGAGGCAATCCATCCTCACATGACCGACCTTCAGGCCTTTCATTTCTTTACTGCGACTTAGACTGTTTGTCAGACACATTCAAGGTGTTCTGAGAAACAAATCTTTTTTTTTTCCTCCATGAATATAAATGCTGTCACTCTTTCATACCCTCAAAAACTCTCTTTATAAATTGCCGGAATACATGTAAGCTGCATAAAGAAGGCGGTCTACCGATTTATATAAATGTAGTTTTTCATTAGAATTTTCCAATTTAAAGGAATAAATAGAAAATTAATATTTATTTAAAAAAAATAACAGAATGTTGAAATTTTGTCATCTTGAAGTGTTAAAAAAAAACTGTGATTAATGTTATTTTTCAGGAGTTAGAACTTTTTTTTCAAAGATGTTTTGTCTTTTTTAATATTTTATTTTTTAACTTAATCCAAGAGTTATTATTTTTGGTGTAGAAGTCAGAAAAATATTTTTTATTTAATCTAAAAGACATAAAAATACAAATCCTAGTCATGAAATAAATTTAGATAAATGCATTTATAATTTCCAAAAGTCAGTGTCTTGTGAGTTTTGAAGCCACAAAAAGGTGCAGCAAAATATTGTCATATCAGAAACTAAAGACTATTTATTGTGACCAAAATAGGTCAAAAATGTCTCAACTAAAGTAAAATATACATGTGATGATAAGACTTGTCCATCACTGTCCCGTCAGGCCCTACCTGCAGGAGTAGGTGAGGTTTCGTCTGATGCTCCTCTTGAAGAAGCTCTTGCAGCCCTCGCAGGTGAAGACACCGTAGTGCTTCCCACTGGACTTGTCCCCACACACCACGCAGTCCACCACGCAGGTCTTGTCCTCGTCCCCCACATCCACGTCGCTGCTGCCAGCCTGGGGCGATCCATCCTCGTCCTCCCTCTTCAGGTAAGCCTTCTCCCCCAGTCCGTTAGTGTCCCCGTTGGGGTTGCCCCATCCCCCGCTCACCATGGCCATATTCTCTGGGACGTGCGGTCCTGTGTGTTGATCATACACAGACCCTCCCTGTTCCCCGGCTACCCAGCTACTCCTACAGCCCAAGAACAGTGCTTAGCCTCAGAGACAGTGGTTCCAGGTTTATAATTAAAAGCAGGCTTGCCCCTGAAAAGCGATGAAAAGTTGTCCCAGGTTCCTCTGCGTTGACCTTTCTCCCCTGTTGTCGTATTGTTCTGACCCCGAGGTCTTTCCTGGAGCAGTTTTCTCCCTCACTTTAATCCCTCTGCTCTCTGTTCCCGTCTTTAACCCCCCCTGTTTTCTACTCTGACCTCTGATCAATGGCTGCCGAGCTCTGAGAAAACTTCAGACACACATTTGGTGGTTCAGAGTTCAGGCAGGAGAAAAGGGTGCAGCCTTTGCTCTTTTCACAGGAAACAATAAATTACTCCCTCTCCCCTCTCACTTTCTCTCTCTCCCGCTCTGGAGCAAAAAAAAAATACAACCACCTCACCTATCTGTGAGCATAGCGGTGAGGGACAAAACAAGAGTCACTCTGCGAAGGAAAATAAAAAGAAGGTCAGACCTCCTCAGTCTTCTCAGTGCATGACTTTCTCCCAGAAGCACAACCAGAGTGTAGAGTGAGGAGGAGAAATAAAAGCCAGCTCCTCTTCAGCTCCAGGCAGGGTTAAACTGCCCTGCCCTCTCCTCCAACATATGAACGAGTTCAACCAGTTCCTGCTGCTCTGATGTGTTATCTGCTCATCTGAGACGCGTCTAGTCCGGACCAACTCTCGACTTGTCAAAACTCAAGACAAAAAGTGCTGAAGAGAAGAGCTTTCAAAAGCTGTCACACATTTCCAGTCAGAGCTTTAAAAAAAGATGTTGTCCTGAACTTGGAAGAAGAGCTGACCAGAGTGCAACTTCTGCTTTGACCCTGATATTTTTGGGCTCAGCAACACTTTTGTGCTCCAAAAACGACGAAGACGATGGTCCCAGATTTTGTGCCGTCCGAGAAAAATCTAGTTTCTTCAGAAACTCTTCTTTTCTGTTGTCTGGGATAAAAATTCTGTTTTGTTGTGGTTTTTCCAAACTCCTCAGTGAGTGATGTCACAGTGTCTCAAGTGTCACAGAAAAAAAAAAGAAAACAAGCCACAACAAACACAAGAGTTCACCACTCTGCTCAGCCACAGTCGTCTGTCAGACTGTTGCTCTGCTGCTTTGTCAGTGCTTGTCCGTCCAGCAGTTACAACCAGAGGCCAGAACCTTTTCTGCATTCCCTGTCAGCGAGTCACGGTGTAGTGTTGCACTCTTTACTACTCTGCTTGTCCTTTTTTTTCTCCCCGTTCTTTCTACGGGGCCCCCGCAGGAATAAATTAGTCAAACAAGAGCCGGAGAAACACGGACATAGGCCTTTTCAGTCAAAGAGCGACGGTGCTGTGGAGAGCAGTCCTCAGATCCACTGCTCCTCTGAGCTCCTCCAGATCTTCTCTCCCTGCGTCTCTGTGTCTCTCTGCCTCCTTCCCTCCTTTAGAGAGAGTGAGCCGTGTCTGTGTGCTCAGGGATTTGACACTGCTATTCAAGCCCTGCCGTTGCCATGACACTGGATCCCTTATAAGGCCAGAGGAGTCAAAGAGCAGAGAGCGGGGTTGCAACCACACACACACACACACACACACACACACACACACGCAGAGAAAGAATGCCTGACTGCTCGCCTGTTTTACCCCCTGACCTCAGGCCTGCCCGGGAGCAAAGGGGTAGTTAACCTCGACACAGCCATCAGACAAAGAGAGGTGGCGGCTTCTGCCCGACTTTCTACAGAGAACGCACGGTGCTCACGCTCATGTTCTCCACTCAGCTCTAATCCCTTAGACTTCCTCCGACTTTGTTGACCCAATAATAACAGGGAGGGCCTGCTGTTGTTGAGCAACTTGTCAAAGGGTTACATGATACGCCAACGGCTCCTTTTCACACCTGCTGCACACACTCATAGGTCAGTGTGAAGGATGCCAAAGGTCCCGGGCCGACTGCTGGGCCCTGAGTGGAGCCGCTCGCGATTCTGCGTCCACATCTGAGTACCATAAAGTTGTTGGACTAGTAGGACAAAGATAATCAGTACACCTATGTGTTTACGTAGGAGTAGCAGACGCAAACAAAAGGTCGTTTTCACCTCTATTTGTTAACTATAAACAACTTTCGACATCAGCAAAGCCAGTCTGAAAAGTAGCGCTGTGAGTTAGCGGGTTAGTTAGCTCTTAGTTAGCGGGCTGTATAAATTCATTGGCCGCAGGATTGGTCTTTGAAAGGATGATTTGTGACTCACTCACTTGCTCTCTGTAGCAGTAGATCAACACAGTGGAGTTAACACTGATGCACAGGCATTTATTAGGAATCTAAAGTCTCTTTATTGGAACTCTTCTGAGCTTTCAGCGACACAATGACAGATGTTATTCTGTGCAAAATACTAAAGTGAGGCGTACAGTTCATGACACCAGTTATAATAACTTATACTTAAAATACTCATAGTGTCGAGTGAGGAGTCTGCTTTGATGTGGCTCAGCTGTTAACTCTGGAGCTGCTGCCTCTGCTTCACTGTTCATGAAGTTCAACCTTCTCTGCAGAATAAATATTTCTCTTGGTTAATATAAATTTTCAGTTAAAAAAAATTCTCTTGGTTAATATAAATTTTCAGTTTAAAGTTAATCAGATGATGTTTTTTGTAGTTTTTTATAGTTGTTTTGTTGATTTAATTTAAACCTACAACTCCTTTAAGGTGTTCCTTTGACAATAGATTTTACCACTAGAATAAGACACGACGTTAATAATTCCACACCTGGAGAAATCCAGGTGTTACAACAGCAGTGTCAGAGTAAAACAAACAGTAAGAGCTGGGATTAGAAAATTAACAATACACAATAAAGTGGCAGTAAGTTCTAGCAAATGCTTTAAATTTAAAAGTGTTTTGGAAAGTACTACACTGGAGAAACATCTTCTATATTTGCCGCCGGGCCAACTTTCTGTCCTGATTTGTCTGTTCCACCGGCAGTGCTGTCATGTGAAGGTCTTCACAGAAAGAAGGGAGGACAAAATAAACAATCAGCCTGCCACCAAGGTTTCCAATAACAGCCTTCACAAAAGGCAGAGGGGGAGAGAGAGAGAGAGAGAGAGAGTGAGAGAGAGAGAGAGACAGAGGAGGAATTCACTGCTGCTCACAGGCATGCATGCCTGAAGGAACCTCTGTGTACCAAAAAGTGTTTGCTCATCACATGGTTTCACAGGAATTCCTGCCCAGTGACAAAACAGTTTGTCCCAGGGACTTTGTTTGAAAGGATGCACTGTCTCTGAAAAATATTTTCACATATCTCACACTTGATTAAAAAAGGAGGTTTGGCAGAAACGTTACACCAGTTGAAGCAGTGAGGTTAACTCCGGCCTTTTTACTTGCTGCACATGAGGCAACGTTGGCCTCCATCCGTCACAGCTAGACTCGTTGTGCATGGATAGGCCTTTTGTTTGGTTAAGAGGTTATCAAAGGCCGAGCTAAGCTGCTGTAAGTTGAATTAGTGTTTTTCTTTAAGCCGGTCTCTGTGTGTATTTGTAGAAGTCAGACCCTGTGGAGCAGTGTTTTCTCGTGAAGTAGTAACTTGACCGTTTCTTCAGAGATCCAAGTCTTTAAGGATGGCAAATATAATGTTCCGGATGTCTCCTTTTGTTTAAAATCACATCCCACCTCCATCTTGGATCTCAGATTATTCCATCAGTACAGTTGGAACAAAGCATCAGTAAACATACAGTGTCTGGTTCTGGAGTTATTGGTTTCTAGCAATCAGCTGATTGATTTGTTATTTAGTAAACTGTCCTGCTGACCAGTGATGGAGAGCAGAGCTGCTGAAGACACTGAAGTGACATCACAGCCACAGGTTGGCTGTGATGTCACTTCAGTCTCAAATGGTCACGGAATTTTATATGTAAACATGTATTAGAAGTGAAGTTAAAAGACTTATTTTCTACCAGAGTTTCTTTGATTCTTCTGCTTCACGTGGCCACCAGTCCAGATTGATTTTGTGATAAAAAAAATTACAAATTTGGCTTTTTATTCTTAAGGATGGCAAAACACACCAATTTGACCGTGTCAGATGTTAATTTGATTTAAATCAGGGATAATCATTGAACATCCTGTCTTGTTTCTTTATGAATCTTTTTTTTCTGTATTTCTGCACTGAGGTCAGAACAGGAACATTCATGTTAGAGCTGCAGCAGCTGAAAACTGACTGTCTGTTTTTGTTCTTCGTGACAGAGCATGTGTCCTTGTACAAATATGCCTAACCTATCTGCAAGAAGCTCTGTGTGTGTGTGTGTGTGTGTGTTTCTCTTGTGTGCTCTTTGAACTGGAGGTCAGGAATGCAGCTGCTCTCAGCGTGAAGTCGACTGTGGCAGAGTTTTTTAGCACAGTGAAGCAGATTAACCTTATGTTTACTCACCTGAACTTTGCATGTTTACAGTGTTTACACAGAGACCTGAACATGAACCTATTTACCATCCACGTGCTGCCGTAGTCTATGAATGGAGTTCAAAATATAATCCTATATCTATATATATATATATTAGAAATAAATACATTTCAAGGTCTATATTTGTAATATTTGTAAATATTTGTATATTTCTAGGCACAACTGTGTCAAATTTGCTAATTTCAGTTATACCCAGCAGCTGTTTTCAGATAAAGTTGCTAACTTTTAGCATTTTTTGTCTGACCTTTTGCCCTGCCTTAGGCATACTTGGGCTGGTTTTGCTTGTTTGTTTGTTTGTTTTTTTGAGCTGTCATTTAGCTAATAAAAAAAGGTTCTGACCTTTTTTGAACCTTTGCCATTTGTTACATTCATTTTGCTATAATTCAGTTTCCAACAAATAGCTGACTGTTAGCATCTTTGGCTAACTCTAGACTTTTACCAGCTCTCTCTACACGTGTGAAGCGATTGACCCACATCCAAAATCGGGCCTGAAATATTTAAAACACATGACGACTGACGACAGTGTTTCCGTCCTCTGTGTTTAGACATGTGCTCTCACGTGTCCCTGATAAGAAATCATGTGATGAGTCGTGTTAGTTTTAGAGTATATAGGTTTAGTCAATGTATATAGGTTTAGTCAAGTTGTCAAAAAGTTCAATTCCAGGTCATGTAAATAATGTGGTGTAGAAGAAAGGCGATAAACAGTGGCACAGCGAGTCTTTTGGATTTCTTATCATATATTTTTATTATTTAATGAGTGGAATTTGTGAAATTAACACCAAATAACCACTGGTGTGAAAATACTGAAGACAGAAACAAGAAATGACTGCAGCTCTGTGACTGCAAACCTTAGTTGCCTGGGGAAACTGTAAAAAAAACAAAACTACAGAAAAATTATTTTTAAACATTAAACCTCAGTGACTCATTTCATTAACCAGTCGATGAGTCAGAAGTTTCTCATCGAGATTTGAGCTATTTCTGCCTGATGTTACATGTGTATAAATATTCCCTTTTTTTATTTTTATTTTTGCACGTCCCCCGGGTTCGACATCAGTGTGAGGTAATGTCGAATCAGTTTTCTGGAAACGCGGCATAGGATCCAGAGGATGTGTATGTTAGCAGTGTTAGTTAATAAGTGCAGAGGAATTCAGTAACTGGGGTTAAACTTTAACTCTGAGGAGTAACTGCATGAACCGGCAGGAGCGCATGACTCCCTGCTCCTTCCTCATTAGCCCCACTGACCTTTGACCCAGAACGCAACGCAAAAATCATCTTCCCCTGCTGGCCTCCTCTCCCTCTCCCACCTTCTCACACACGGCCTCCTCAGGCCTTTGACCTCCAACGAATGACGGAGCAATTTAAAATAAACAGAGCCGGGGAACCTGCCAAAGAAAAACATCTGCTGTGGTGACTCCAGAGCAACAAGCAGCGTCCAATCAATATCTGCCCTCCTCTCCACCAGGACCTGCTGGAGATGGTGGGAAACTTCCCATTTGCTGTGTTTTTGTTGTCATTCAAATCAGCGGTCCAGTGTTTCCTGTGAACACAGTATCAGGCCATTGTCTGTGGACCAGTCAATAGAAGTATTAACTGTAGTGACAGTGAAGCCTTTCCTCCCATGTGTTGGCTGTGGAGGTTAGAAAACAATAAATGAGGCAGAAAAAAGGCCTGTGTCTTCACTGACACTCCACAGATTTTCTCTTTTTCACACTTTTATTCTTTTCCGTCCACAGAACTTAACCAGCTGCTCATTCACACTCCTACAGACGTAGAGTGACGTGAAAACTTTTCTTTTTTTCAACTCTGTCTTGTGTCAAAGATCAGATCAATTCACTTGGGAAATTTGCAGAAAAGTATTTTCTCAATTTAGGTTTAGCATCTTTTATTTTTTATAAACATGTTTATCGTTGTTATTTTGCTTTTTCCAGTGTAAAATAAAAAAAATATATATAAAAATTTAAGCTAAAATGCAGCCCTACAACATTACAGAGCCTGTCCCATTGCTTTACTGAAGGTTTGGAGAAGTCACTGTATTTCATAGTTGCCTCCTACTGACAAACCCACAGTGATTTCAATTAAAAACATTTTAACTGCTCATTGAACATCTGACA